ATAGTTGCAAACCTCTCTGTAAACCTTAAAAAGGGATGAAGAAGGAGAGACAAGGCATTTACATTGTACCTACTATATGCCAGGCACTGTGCTAAGTGCTTTTATAAGTATTATCTCATATATAAATGCTAGCCATTATTATTGTTATTATTGCAAATTGCAACATTCCTATTTGTTTTGAAACAGTCAAAAGTAACAAGGGAAAATTTATATCAGAATGATAAGATTATAGACAGGAATCTTGGGTAACAATAACCTAACAACCCTTAATCTTCATTCTTTTAGAGTTGGCCAAGAGAAATGAAGGAAACACATAATGGAAGAGATAGGTATAATAATTAAATGATTTGAAGCCTAAATTGGATAATAATAATTTTAGCTTCAAATCTTCTGAAAATTTCTGAAGTTTTATATTTTAGCATATAAACATTTTATATTACTTTAAAAAGACAGGTTGCCATGGCATATTCTGAAGCATGAGGTCTCTTCTTTCAAAGCAGTGTAGGGACCTAAAATTGCACAACTCAGCAGGATAACTAAATCTATACTAAAAATGACAGTAATGACACACAAATATCAATCTACAAAGTCCCATTTTTACATCAGTGCAAGACATGTCTGAAAATATGTTGAGCAGAATCAATGGACATGGATATTTGTTTAAAAAGACCATTCTTTTACCTTTTATTTTTTTTGAGGCAATCAGGGTAAAGTGACTTGTTCAGGGTCACACAGCTAGTAAGTGCCTGAGACCAGATTTGAACTCAGGTCATCCTGACTTCAGGGCTGGTACTCTAGCGACTGCGCCACTTAGCTGCCCCTAAATAGCCATTCTAAGGTTTATCTTGTCACCTCCCTTTCCCCTTTAGAATTTAGGAAATGAACTTAAGATCTCTAGGTTATAGAGCAAAGTCCACTTAGTCTGTAGAGTGAAGTGGGGTGGTAGAATCTTATGGTGTATGACTGCTCACAAAATAAAAACAACCTCCTGATACATAAAATTTGTAAAGCTACACTACTCCAAATCACCTTCAAACTGATGTAAAATGTGTGTGCTTAAAGAAGTTTACCATTCCACATGCAAGAAAAAGAGCAAACCAAACACCACTACAATGCGGCACTCCAAAGAGAAAGTCACCAACACACATAAGATACATTAAAACGATGTGGCTTAACATTTTTTAAGACTGTGTTTCAGCAAAATGTTAGAGAAGTTTTTTTTAATTACTTATGCTTAATTCATTCATTAAGATCACTTCAACTTATGGCTGAGGTTTTTTACTGATAAATGGAATTGGATGATGAGCAAACTGAATTACTGAATAACATAACAAGAAACCTAGATATATTGTTTCTTAGTTGCTCATCACGTCAAGGGATAAGAGCCACAAGTTTGTAACTCATAGACTTAAAAAGCTGAAGTGACACACCTCTAGTCACATAGATACAAAGTGTCAGAGGCAGGCTTTGAAACTAAGTCTTCCTGTTTCTAAGTCCAGCACCCCACCCACCATCCACTCCATAGAGTATACTATACAATGGCCTGCTCAGGCGGTTACCCCAGTGTTTGAAATAACTAAGAAGGTTTAGAAGGGTTGCCCACTCTCTTTGTGATGCTTCTCCTAAGCTCTCTGCCAGTATCTGTGAATGCCCGCTAACACCTTTGTGTTTGTGTTCACCACAGTCACACAAACCTGCAGTGGTCTGAGTACTCATATTTAAAAACCAGGCTGCAGTGTTGAGCAGAGTCATGTTGTCACCTGAAGGGAAAGGCCAAAAGAAAAATAAAAAGAAAACGAGAGCTGTTCGGCTTTGTGCTAGATGTCACATAAATTTTAAAAATTCTTTTGTATTCCTATAATTCATATAAATTAAGTTTAGGTATTTTTTTCCCAAGTGTAAGTGAACAAAAAAGGTTTCTGGATGAAAATTAATTATTTGTAAAGAAGATTTTTGTTTTGTTTTGTTTTGTCTTTCTCAAGTTATGGAAGACAATTTAACAAATCCTCATTTTATATAAATCACAGAAATAATTATTACTTAAAATTTTGCTAAAAGTTTCTGTGGGGTACAAAAATATAAACCTCAACTTACAAGAGAAACAACTTATTTTATGTAACTGTATTATTTTACTATAATGAATTATAGGAGGTACAATTTCCTGAACTACTGTTGGAAACAAAATCTCTGCATTTACCAGTATACAGAAATTTTAAATTTTATAGATTACAGTGGCTCACTGTCTTTGCTCTTCTAGGGCCAAGAGTAAGCAAACAAAAAATACTTACATTAGGTGAGAGCAGAAATAAACAGTGTATTTACACACACACACACACACACACACACACACACACATGCATGATTCATGTCATTTTAGATAATATTTTCTATAATGCATCTATGTAAATGTTTAAGATTTAAAAATGCCCAAGGTACATGATATCTAAAATCACCTATGAAATTCTACAGATGAATTAAACCTATGATTTATAAACTATCGTAATTAGTTATAAAATATGTATACAGCATAACTTTAACTGAGATATACTACTGAGTTTTAATACTAAAATGCTTTGTTATTTTAAAACATATTTTGTAAACTAGTGATTTGACTTTTTTATGTACCCATGGCTTAAAGAACAGCAACAGATAATCAAAATATTTTATTATTTTAAAATCTCACAATTTACCAAAATTAGTTATATCTATTAAAGGGTAGCATAAAATAAGATAATTTGGCATTTTTACTGCTCATTTAATTGAAAAATGGTGAATAACCAGTTATTGATATTTAAGAATGAACAAAAATGGGACATAAGTAAAAATGATCAGTAGCAATACTTTTCAGTGTATGTGAATGGAAAATAACTCATCTCAGAATAATATAGAAAGTTAATTATTTGCAAATATCTCATTTTAGCAACTGGAAAATAAAAGAGCAATAGTGACATTCATTGGCATAATCATTTCAAACCATAGGAATCTTTAAAAAAAATGGTCCATAGTAACAAATGAAAATACTAAGTAAATAATAATCAGAAGGAAAAAAAAACTCACCTTCTGTGCCATTGGGTGTCATGGAATTGCTATTTATATGAGCGTTATCAAGCTTTGGACCACTGGGGGATTCACTACTACCACTTAGTCGGCTATGTGGGCTGGTTAGATCCTGCATTTCCATAGACCTAAAGACAAGAAGTCTTCCATTTGACAGATGTATTAAATTCATAACACCACTCTTTAATGTGCTTGCTATTTGATACCCTCTTTGAAATACACATGTAGAAATTTTCCTTGTATTCTTTTTTTTTTTTGTAATCCAAATGGTTGTCTTATGTTGTGACTTCTGCTACTCCTATTATGATGTTAACAGCCAATGGGAGATATCAAAGCTTATATCCATGAGAGATCACATCCTGATTTTTTTTTAAATATGCTATTCAATCCCTACTTTACTCCACCCCAAACTGAACAAGTAGTTCTGTGGGTCACAGCTCAATACATCTATTTTTAATGTTGAAAGAAGAAATTCAATCATGTTACAAAAATGTTTAAAAACACTTTTTTCACAGCAGAAAAGTTACCTTTGTATATACATAATGTAAAGGACCATCATTTTATTATAGAGTATGCTCCAAAGAAGCAATAAATTAGCACTGTGTACTCCCTCATAATTTACCACCCAATTGTAATTTAATGGGTCTCCAAACCAAATAAAACACTTGAAGCCTACAGTCCAGTGACAGGGAATGAGATATTCCTGATGCATGTGTTTACTCTGGCAAACTACTTAATTGTTCCTCTGTTTCCCTTGAAACAAATGCAGCATTAAAACATTATTATGTCGGCTCACTTGTTTGCTTTGTGGATTATATACAGCGTGCCCAATTGAGAAGGGATAAGGCCGACATACAGGGAATCCATACAGGCATTAGGCTGCCTTAGCACTTGCTAGTTCCTCAGCTGTCACTTAGTCAGGGAAATAAGAAAATTCTACTTCAGTGCTGTAATTTCACATTTTTACAATATAGAAACAGATAAATTCCCTCTGAAAGTTCTTATATTCAGCAGTTAATTATTTCATAAAGGTACAGAAGCAACTAGTCATGTTCACCATTAGAAAACTGCCAGTTTATATTTTGTAGTCTGTTAGTAAAGGGGGTAGGGGAAGATTGGGAAGATTTATTTTAAGTTACAAAAAAGCACAGCTACACATTGCTTTATTTTCTAATTAGCCAGGACTTCTAAAAATTCTAAAAAAGTCCCCCTTCCTTAAAAGAGGATATATGTATTATAAATACATAATATACACACACGTAGATGTGCATGGATATCATACATTTATATGTTGTACAAGGTGACCCAAAAATCTTGGTGCAGATTTAGGCTTTAATAGCTTAAATTAACATTAACATTAACAGCTTAAAGCTGCACTAAAACTTTTGGAACAGCTTGTACATATGAAGCTGACACATGTATGTGTATATACATACACATATATGATGTTGATACTCTTTACTCTTCACCTACAAACTCAGAGCTACTGCAAGTTAAAATTTTAGCTTAATGATTTCAATTAAATCAGTTATGTAGGGCCACTTAAAATATTCTTAATATTTCAATAGAAACTTTGAAAAACTTTCAAGTTATTTTTCCTTTGAAAACTTATCAAATTCACCTTCATTGCTGAATTCCAGCCAGGATTCCTTTAAATCCGGCTAAATCTCATCTGTTTCAGTAGGTACTCACTTATATGGGCCTGCCAGATATTTACCACGGTGAAATGATTATTGGCTCATGATGCTTTTTTTTTTCAAGCTCAGTCTCTTATTGCATTTCTTCTTACAAACAACAATCTTACATGCACAGAAAGCTGCTAAATGGCTTACAATGAAAATTTCTGCTATTAATGGTAAGAAATGAAGAAACCGTATGTAAAAATGGATGGGGATCATAAAGTGTCTTCTTCAATAAAAGCCCAATATCAGTAATGCCCTTACCTGCAACTTGAGGAAACAGCAACATCTGAACTGGTTTGAGATTTTTGCACCTGTGGTCAGGGAGAAAAATTAGACGCTGTTGTTATTCTGCCTCAGTGTCCAGGCTTAATTATACAGAGCACATGGCTGAGGATGACAATACAGCCTTTAACCGAAAGAAAAAAAGGGGGATATTGCAGCAGTGAAAGGCATATTGTCTATAAGTTGAAGTCTCAACTGTTGTTTCCTCTTGCAGGTCTATCCTTCTCCCCGTGTAAGGGGGAAGGCAGCCAAATGACGGGATAGTGATTCATCACTGGCCTATGACAGCTGCAAACTGGATTACCCCTCCCCCAATCAACATGCAAAGCAGCCTGGGGAAGGCAACTTGGAAAGGGTGCCTAGGAAAGGTAGCTATTCACCCAATCAACATGGTTAACAGAAGTAGTTCAAACATTAACCCTCCTGCATCCTCAAAAGATCTTTCATCTTCTGTTATCACTGGTTGAAATATATTTCCCACCCACCCCTTTAAGTCTTGACAGTTTCTTATCCTTATCATGTTGAACTTTTTCTACTCTTACTGTTTGTCCTTTAACCTTCATTAGAACAGTTTCTAAGCAACTCCGTTTAATGCCAGCCTGACTTAAAATAGCAAAAATGTATTTTCCATGATATATTCTGCATATAGCTATGCTACTTCTCTCATGTAAACATAAAATAATCAATATAGTTTCATTGCTTTCAGAATTAGAATGTATTTAGTCTTTAGTTAATTATCTGTCTTTTAAGCCTTGTCCAGAAAATCAGTATATTTAGTATTTCAATAATCAACTCAACACCTTGGTGAAACAGCATTATGATGGACCCTTTTGTTATTAGATGGATTTGCATTTAGTTAGGATACAATGAATAGTTTAATATACAGCCTTTGATATCACAGTCCTTCCATGGACAGTCCAAATTGCCAGCAGGTGATAAAGTTCAGGGGAAGATTGGTTGTTGACCTGGAACCACCAGTGAAGAGTATGTATTCTACCTAGTGTTTCCATGACACTCAATTCCAGATTTTTGATGTGTCTTCATTCAACCTGAACTGATATCACTAATGATTACAGAATAGAGAAGAAAAGCAAAGCATCTCAAGTGGCATAAATATTATCTAGGCAAACATAATCAGTGTTTGAGCTTTGTTATTTCTAATTATAAAATTAATAAACTTTTTGCATAAGAATAAGGTGCTCAAAGTCTGACAGGCTCATAACATTAGATATTATTTCAATGTATGCATTTCCATTACATGTATATAGGGAAAAAAACCTTAGCTAAAAAATAAATTTAAAAGATTAGATGGGAATCTAAATTTTAAAATATTCAAATAAACTAAGTCAATTTCGGGAAGCAGAGACAAGTTTCTAGAAATTAAAACACAGTCTTTTCAGAAAATGCTTAAACTCAAGATAAAATGATTGAAAGTGTAGCAATATACCTCAAGGATATACTTTCCTATTGCTATTTTTATATATCTGGAATATATTATAGGTGAAAGCTAACTGTTTTAAAAGTGATCTTGGCTTAGTTACCTAGGAGCTTATTTAGACTATACTACCTGATTACAAAAAATTCTTTTGTTGATACTTCTATTTTCATATTTGCTAGATATCTTTGTAATATAAATTTGGTATTATATAATTTGAAATAATTATATTTTATGTTTAAGGTTTGACCTGTAGAATTTCAATTTCAAAATAAGATACCACTAACTATAAAGGGAATTTTAATATGAGCACAAATGAATCTAACACTTTCCTTTAAAAAAAACCCAAAATTTAAAGGTATTTTCAAGACCACATCTTATTTCCGCTGAGCTTGGTTCAAGTTATCATGTGCTGCACTTTTTACACTCCAAGATTTCTGAAAGTCCACATCCACGATCTTCATTTCATTAAGTATACTTCAGATATATTCCTTTGTGTCTCAGGGATTATTTAAACCATGTGTTGTGTGTTACTGTATTTAAAAATGACTCTTTAATCAAAATAACTTTAAAACAACTAATCCTCACTTAGGCTGGTCAGCTGAATCCACATAGAGGTCCAGGAAAAATAAATCTACTCTCAAGAATGCGAATGCAGACAACAATTAGACACAGATGTGAGCAAAATTAGTTACAGTTTACAAAATGCTACACTTCACATGCTTTTAGTTTTTTTATATGTAGCCCAACATTACAATACAGTAAGGAAAACAGACTCTTCTAAAGACTTATGCAAAAGGACACCTATTTCTGATTGGTGTTGATTTTCTCTTATGATGTACTATGCTTAATAAAAGTCGCTGTATTTGGTAAGAGTCTAAGTTGCAATATCTTCCAAAACTGATTAAGGTTATTTTCATTAGGAAATGAAAAAAAAACTCTTCAATGGACTTCAGAAAAGATATAATAAGGCATCGAGTTAATTCAAATTTACTCTTTTTTCCTATATTTTCAAAACATTCACTATAGTGTCCTTATTTGGAGTTTCAAATGATTTCTGTATATGCATTTCCTATATTGTATCTCACATAAGGTTATACATAATTCAAATACTTAATTTTGAAGCATTTCCTCTTTATCTACAAAATAGAAATATCTTGTTGAGAGGTTCTTATAAAAGACAAACTGAAACTGATAAGAAAGTCACAGAATTCTACCCTTAAAAAAGTCAAACTGGTAACATTGACTTCTGATTAGTTAATGAGGTCTTTTAAGTTTGCCTTTTTTCTAATTAAATTTATAATTCTTCACAGATGTAAGTTTTGTTGATGTTCAATTTGTCTCTCTCATTTTGTTAAACCTCACAGAGTACTTCACCAATCCATTGAATAGCCACATTAAATCTGTTAATACCATGCTCTTCAACCCCAGAAATTATTTCCAGAAGGCAAACTTGCTTTGAGAGATCATCAAACAAGACTTAAGGTACACATTTTATCACATTTTCCCTACCACAGAGCTAGGGATGCAGAGGAAAATTCATGACTTTTGCACTGTTTATTATACTTTGCTAAATTACAAATCAAAAGCATCTGACAGAAGATCATGTATGAAGCCAAAAAGTTAATAATGTTCTGTGAAAAGTAAACTGTAAATGGTAAGGGATTCTAAATCTCAGCAGCACAGAGCAAATAAAACATAGGTACTTGTCTAAATTATGGGTTTTCCATAGTCTTTTTTTTTTGCTTGCTAGAAGCAATTTTTATAAAATGACTGTAATTTAAAACATTTTTTAACTGAAAAGAAATTTTCAAAGTGAAAGTACCAAGCTTATCCAAATAAATAGAGCTGGCAGGCAAGCTAGTTTTGTTCAACCACAGATCGACCCTAGTCCCTACCAAATCTGAAAGACAATGGCTATTTTCTCATCAGACTATTTCATAGGGAAAACCTGTCTTAATGATAATCCTGCTTTTCAAGCAGCATATTTTTCTTGGTAAAAATTCTCTCCAATCAGTACTTATAACCATAGCAACTGTATTATAACAAGCAAAAACACAGATTCAAAAGCACACACGGCACAGACAGGTATCCTTTAGACTTCACTGTTTTTATTCATTTATCCTTTAATATGCAATTTATAAATGGAATGTTTTCAAATAGAATTAATTATGGATTTCTCTACATCCAACAAGACATTGGTCTTGATCACATAGTTCAAAGCAAATTTTTTAAAAAACGGAATTCTTGTGCAAACAAGAACAATTAAATAATTGATCTATATAGCGTCTACAGTTTTCAAAGTTTAGTTGACTTAAAAAACACTTAAGTAAACTTTGACTGAAATGCTTTTGACATCTGACTAAATGTAAACTGATTTGTTCTTCAAGTATATTACCCTTCCACTGTATCCTGGTTTTCAGAAAATACCACAGATTTAAAAAAAATTCCAAGGGGCAATTTTCTTTTAAGAAACCATTTATTATATCTATCAAACACATAAGAAAGGCCTTTCCTTTGGAATTGTATCCTTAAATGGCAGACAACCTAATGCTGAACAGTGGCTCAATTAGGCTTCTCTGTCTGTCACCGCAAAGTATTTTCAGGTTTGAAAATCCACGGCTGTTCACTCACAAAGTACACTGGGCCTTAACTGTTAAGCATTTGACAATGTATGAGCGCTGTTTTTCATAAGTATATTGCTTCCAAAATGAACAGTATGGAGCAAAAGACTTAATAAAATAATTATCAATTAAAGCTTATCTGAAAAATGTTATATGATGACAAAAATGTTATACACTGTGACGTATCACTAACTTTTTCCTATTTCACCCTTGCCATTCACTTAGGTGTCAAAACATGGAGAAAAATAACCTAGTAAATACAATGACAGGTCTGAATTTAGTAAAGTTCATGTAATGTTGTGCTGAAATCTATTTTAAAATACTTATTCCAGGACATATATATTCCTAAATAGTTGGTGGTTCTTGTATCAGCTTTGGTTATGAAATAAGTTAAAAGATCTTTTAAAAATCAACATTTTGATTTCAAAGTGATAGGTATATATCTATAAGTCAAATGAAATGCCAATCAAGGCCAAAGGTTTTATTTGTATAAATGCATATTTTATCAGCCTGAAAAGTTCCTTTTTGAGGAGTCACATATTTTATCTTTGGGGGAATTTAAACATATTAAGGAAACGACTTTACTCCTCCAAAATGTGCTGCCAACTTATCTTCATTTTGCTTCCTTCTTCCAAATTTTAAGCTTTTTCTTCATGCTCAGGTATTGTTTTTGAGTGGGGCTATGAAAAAGCACTCATTGCCATTGCATATATGCAATATAACATATGCATAAATGTACCTTTTCCATTCCATATTATGCAATATTACTTGGAGAGACCATTCATAATAGCAGTGCCAAATGCTGTCTGCAAAATGTTACAATAGCCCTCCAATATTTCTCTGTTTAAATTTACAGCGTTAACGTAGAACGCAACATGTTAACTTACACGATTCGGGATGATGTATCATTAATGATTAGAATCATGTTTGTAGGTAATAACTAGATTACTTAGGATGGCACATCGGGATTAATGAAGTAATAGAAATTGCCCCACAAATTTGGCCAGTTCTAAGTATTGTTTTTCATTAAAAAAGACGAAAAAAACCCTTCAACGGAGAGGGAGGGGGAAGCCCAATCCATCTCTCCTGTTATCTATCTGGGACTTTGCCCACAAGACAGTTTTGGTCAGTCTCCACAATCAACAGCCAGCTTGTACTTACAGAGCTCTTGTCTGCTGCATCCACTAGTTTTCCGTTCTTCTCTCCCGTTCTCTGCTTTAACAAATCTCCGCTCCGTGCATGTTTAGATCCCTGGGGGAAGGTATAGTTTTGTGCTGACGACGGTGAGGGTGATTTTTAGAAGTTCTCAGTGGAGCCCAAGAACAGAAGTGCAGAGTCTCTGGAGGGCAAACCCAAGCTAAAGGCAAAGCTCCCAGTTTGTTGCTGGAGGCTCTGACTGCCGAGTGTCTGCGAGAAAACGGTTCCTCGAGGAAGAAAACCACCGCAGTGGACTTTAACAGGAAGACTTAAAGTCGGAAGTGGTACTAGAGAGTCTGTATCTAGCACCAACCCCTGAGCCATCAGCTCCCACTGTTCTATTTAGTCACAGCTTCGAGCAGTGGGCTTTCCCCCCCACCAAACAGCAGCAGATAATATCTAAGATCCTTAGACAAAGAAACAGCAGAATCTTCATCCCTCCTATTTGTTTGCTCAGTCTTGTAGGTCTGCCCATGTAGCCTAAGGGCTTTTTTTTTTTTTGGTTTTGTTTTTGCAACCCAAACCACAGCTATTCTCTTGTCCTAACCTTATTGGTTTAAATGTAACAATTGAAATGAGCACTCTTCTGTCTGACTCAATCTTGCTGCTTTAGAAAAATTTATTATGTAAATGAATGAGCCTCATGCTATCTGGATAAACAGTTGTGTGAGAATTACTTAGTGGAAGCACTCTGTCAGCACACACTCGGTTCTAACAGCAGCTGCCAATATAGTTATTTGGGAGGCTGCTGTATAATCACTTTTTAAACACTTTTCCAAAGATTTTGTTGTTGTTCTCCCTTCTGAAACTAGTAGAGTCAATGCTTTCTAAATCTTTCTTCATAATTTTTACCTGATTTACAGGTTTGGAGGTTAATTACCTTTTGCTAACTCCTAGCAACCCAGAAGATTAAAAAAAAGCGAATTTACAAATGAACTAAATTCTAACTCAAATCATTACCTTTATGGTGAATCCAATGGAAGTTGGAATGAAGGCATTTCTCAACATTCCGAGAACATTACCTTCTCATAAACTATGTGAGCAAGTATATGAATGGGATTCAGTATTTAATAGTTGAATTTAAAATCATTTTAGGAGAAAAGCTTCTCATACAGTTCGAATCTTTGCAGCTTGCTACATGAGACACTATGGAACTCTATACCATCTGAGTGAATATTATGATTAAGAATAAAATTGAAAACTGCATTTTTACAGTTTCTTAATATTATTACATTTTATACTATTAAATGGCTTCTGAAGGTTAAGGTCAATTATTTCAATAATGTATTTATTCTAAATATTTAAAAGCATTGATTAAAAAAATCTAACTATATATTTTACATGACAGGTCTTAGATCAAAGTCTGAGTACAAATGTCTCTGTTTTTGCCTGTTTCATCATAAGTTTTATATTATAAAAAATAAAGTGGAATTCTTATAAATTCCTTTCTGTTATATATTAAGGTATTTTTTCCAACTGTTTTTATTATTACATGAAACCTTTTTCTGTGTGCCAAGACTTTTCTATCAAAAAAACAGTCTCCTTTAAAAAAGAACAAGGTAATGATTTATAAAGAAGCACTTGTTAAAATTGGGTTGCTACTAGTATATCATATAATGTTTGCATTAAGCTTTGAGGTCATCAATTAGTACAACTTTTCTTCAGCAACCTGGTTCTTAAGATTAGTAAGATGTGTTTTTACCTTTATTTAACTTATGAATGAATGACAACTATTTCAAGTCAAGAACAAACTTCTATTTATGAAATAGAAGTAATGAACTTTTTTTTCAGAAAGGATGCCAATCTAAATTCCTCAGACAAAGAAAGCTTTGGCAAAGCTATAATACAGCTTCAAGTTGCAAACTCACCTATGATTCCATTTTATGTAGTACAGATGAGAGAGGAATCTTGGGATACCCTTCTCCTCATATGTGGGAGGCCAGTTCAAAATAAGTAGGTTTCTATTGGACCTGTCTATATCTCCAGCAGATATAGGATTATCTTACTGACCTATAATAGTTTCTTATTCTGTAAATATCAGATATTATTTGGAAGAAAGTTAATTATTCAGAAAATCTAACACTGAATGTAATGGAGAGTTCTAGTATTGTCATATAAAATGTAATAAAGCATTAATTTAATCTAAAATATCAACCATAACCATGGTCATTGTTTTTAAATCATAACTCTTCCCAAAGACTTTTGAAATACCATCTCTTTTAAAACTGAGGTGATATATGAAAATTCAACCCTGAGTATGTATAACATCTCAGTTGTTCCAATAAAGATCTATGATTTGAATTATATACCATTAAACATTGAAAAATTACAATTAAGCATCAAAATCTCATTTTATTTTTAGGTAGTTTATAAAAATTTATAATCAGTAAATATCACAACACTAACCATTTAAGATAATAATTGGCAGGTGTGATTTGCAATGGAAGTCACAAATAAGTAAGAAAATTATTCAACTAGATTAAATTATATCTATCATTACATAGCATATTTTTAAATTAAAATTTAATTATTTGTGCTTATATAGCCAAATGAGCTATCTTTAAGTGACCTATGCATGCAATTATGAAATATCAAAAGTATCATACATTCAAAGTGACCACTAATTGGCATGATAGTGTAGCTAATGATTGGTAGTTATGAACAGAAAAACTTCAAGTCATTTGGATAAAAACACAATATCCATATTGACATATTTCATCACTAAAGGGGAAATTTGCAATAGCCTGGTATACTATCTGTAGTACAATCAAACTGGAATCTTTTTGAAGTTACTATCCATAACTTTAAATGTAGACATTTCTAATAAACCAGACATGAAGGGAGGGAGGGAGGGAAGAAGAAAGGAAGAAAGTGTGGAGGAAAAATCAATACAAAAGAACTCTATTCACACTCAATTCATCAGTATATTTGATTATTACATCCTGCTATCTACTCTGTTCACTGTATACTTACGCTTGGATTATCTCCTAGAATTTTATGATAAACACACAATTTTTCTAACTGATAAATGAAGGTACATATGAGTATAATCTAGTCTTTCCTGTTTGTCAATGGCATAATTTAGGAAATTAATCTCCTGAAAATTAAATGGTAACATACAGGTAATAAAGAGTTTAAGAAGGACTGTAAGAAGGAATAATGAATGTCAATTTGTTGCATCAATCTAGTGCTCAAATGCTTGTGATTGGAGACTTAGAGATCAGTAACATGTTTACTGCCCAATGAAAACAATAACATTACATTAAAAAATTCATTTTAGTTGCTAAAGTAAAACACTTTGAATATCAAACTCTAGCATAATGTTTGAATGTCATAAAAGGCACAATATTATTCCCTATACTGCATCCCCAAACAGGTTTTATCTTACACAGCAAGCTGTTGCCTAGCTATATGCCCAGTTTTAGTCAAGTTTGAAATTTTGACAGGCTTTCTTATTGCTTCAAGATTAAAGAAGAAGCCAATCTGTAGTGATTACAAAGATAAGAAAAGTCATTATTTCAATTTAAATTCTAAATGAAAGAAGCTTTATGGGACTTTATGAGAAAATTCAAAAATATTATTCCAGATTTTCTAGAATTAGATAATTCAACTCAAAATAAATCATCATAAAACAATCAAACTGAAATATTTAAGGGTTAAGAGACACTGCATCTTTTCCATTTTTGACATGAGTACTCTAAATGGATTTGGCAGGTCCAAAATATCCCTTCTAAAGATAAATATATATTTTACTGAAACATTTGTTTTAGCATTTTTTCTTTATTTTCTTTTTAACCTTACAACTAAATACTTCAGTATTAAATATTTATTGTGTTACCTGTCAGAATAATCCATTAATCTATCAGAATCTTTAATGCATGTGACATTGTTATCATTTGAGAATAAATGCATATCAAACTCCATCATCTAATTTAAAAAATACTACTAAATAGATATTAATAGTTGTTTTTCTTCCAAAAAGAAACATGTAAATCAAAGACTGGCATTATTTCTTTCATATTAAAAACTTATATCAATTGTTCCTTTAAGTAGCCAGGATTTTAATAATGAAATCATCTAAGATTATTAGAATATTAGCCTCTTTCTAATTCCAGATTTATCATTTCCCTTTTGCAGGATTTCTTTTATGGCAACATATTTCTGAGTATTCTAGGTAACTGCTGGTAGAAAAATTCATGTAGTCATCAAGGATTTTGCCATGCTTCCTGGCAGCTTCCATGGTCACTTGCATGACCTATTCTTTCTCTACTGGCACAAGATCTACAAACCAGGACTGTGATCCTGAATTAAACTCCCAGTAGCCGCTGCTGAAACTTCAGCAAGGAAAACATCCACAATTTATTTTAAGAATGATATGAAATTGACCATACTATCTAACAGTATTTTGTTAACTTTCTTTTAGTCACCTCTACCGTGAATAGCTTTTAGCAGTGAATGAAAGGAGACAATTATAAACTCCTAAAGAAAATGACTTGTGATGAATTGTATTGGAGCTTTTATTACAACACAATATGAAAATACAGCCCATTTCCTGAAACCTTAATGAGCACATCATTTATTGTCAGATATAATAATGTTTGTGGAATATGAATTCAGAAATTCAATAGTGATTATCTATGGAGTTTAAAAAATTAACTGTTAATCTAAACTGTGAACACTAAAAAATATCTATTCCTGGCAAATAATAGAACAGCAGCAAAATTTTAACTGAAGAATAAAAGGGTTGCTAGCATTTTTAACCTATTCATTCCATTAAGCAAAGTGTTTGACATGACTAATTTTCCATTGTAGTTAATTTATTCTCAAAAACAACAAAGAGAACTACACCCTTATGAAGTTTTATTTTTCTTCCTTTTCTTTAAATTATTACGATCAAACTGGTCCACGTGGGCTGAGTTTGATCACAGCAATGAGGTAATTTGTCTACTATACGTAATAAATTAGATTTATATCGACATGAATCAGCCTAGCAGACTGAGGGTATCTTTGCTTCTACCATTTTTCCCCTGGCATGGGCAAAACCAATCTTGGCAGCACCTTTCACAAAATGTAATAAGAGCTGGAAATTCACTTTTTTGTATCCCAGTTTTGAATTACAACCCAGTTCACATTTTTAAAATTTCTTCAGAAATAATGCACATCTCAACCAAGCATGGTAGTGAATAGCTTATTACGTTTGTATACTACTTTAAAATACTTTTCCCTAAATATTTACATTGTTGTGTTCCCCCATTTTTATAACACTGTTAAAGTCACCATTCAACAGTAGATGGAGCACTGGGTCATTAATGTAACCTAGGTGAGTCAAGGGTTGTACCACTCTTTTTGAAAGGTGACACATACAAAATATTATAAATCCAGAAAAATAGGAGTTATTTAGCTAGAACACTTAAATTTGTGAAATTTCAAAGAACATAGAATATTGACTAGATCCAATTAAAAGAAATGTTCCTAAGCATACTTTGA